CGGGTGCAGAAATCCCTTCTACAATATCCATAATGAAGCTGGGCTCAGAGGTGAACACTGGGAATCTTGTCAGAAGGGAGACCGGGAGATGAGAATCACTTGACCCCAGAAGTCCAAGACTCTCCTGGGTAATGTCTTGAGACCCCAGTCTCTAAAGAAAAACAAGGAAGCTACAACATATGTAATGAAAAGGTGAAAAAACCCACAGTTCTACTGAAATATGTCTCTTATTTTGAGATAGGGTCTCATTTAGCCTTAATTGGCTAAAACTGATTATGTAGCTGAGAATGACCTTGAACTTTTTATCTTCCTGTCTCCGCATTATCTCAGGGCTGGCACCACAGGTTTGTGCTACCATACCTGGTTTATGTAGTGCTGAGGCCTGAACCAAGGGTTTTGTGGGTGTTAGGCACATCTTCTATCAAGTATTCTACATGCCCAGCCTCCAAATTTTTGTCTTTCTATTGAGCAGATGTTCCTCATACCTCCGAAGGCGCTGCCATTCTCCACGTGCCCCTCACTCTCAGAGCCTTTCCTTTGTATATAAATATGACCCCTTCTTTAACTATTTTGACCATGACGATGTCTCCAGATACTCTGGTTATCCTTATACCTCTACGTACTTTCTAACCTTCTAATCATGACCTTAAAATGTGGAATTTAAAAAGTACAAAGTCATCTGTATAGGCATCGACATGGGACATGAAGCAGTGTGTCAACACACGGACGAAGGAGAAGAAGAACCCCAAGGGACAAAGATTTTACCATTTAATTTTGACAGCTATAGAAAACCATTAAATGGCTGTCAGATGTGCAGTTTAGAAAGATCATTCTGTGCTAAAGAACAGATTAGAGAGATTGCACAAGAGATTGCTGTAACCTAGAGACCACGTAATAGGAATCTGAAGCAGGGTGGAGACAGGAATGACAGGAGTTAGAAGCTGCCCTTAGTCTGTGTCTTCGGGGATGCAGAAGAAATGCAAGGGCTAAGTGTTCAGGTGAGCTGAGAGCTGTGTAATGCATAGTGGGACAGCAGATGAACTTTAGATTCAGGTCAGTTCAGAACCCCTGTCCCTGCTCTGTCATTCCTGGCTGTATGTATCTCAATCAAGGTTGGCATTCTTTCTCCCCCTCCACCCACACTGAGACAGGGTTTCCCTGTGCAGCCTTAGCTGTCCTGAAACTCACTTTGTAGACCAGGCTGCCCTGGAACTCACAGAGCTCTTCCTGTCTCTGCTTCTGCCTCCCAAGTGATGTTTGTTTTCAGAAACTAGAATGATATCACCTTTTATATATATATATATATATATATATATATATTTACTATGTATACAATATTTTGTCTGAAGACCAGAAGAGGGCACCAGACCTCATTACAGATGGTTGTGAGCCACCATGTGGTTGCTGGGAATTGAACTCAGGACCTTTGGAAGAGCAGGCAATGCTCTTAACCGCTGAGCCATCTCTCCAGCCCCATGATATCACCTTTTAAGCAAGGGTTTCTTTCATAAACATTACACATGATGATGGAGAAAGTGCTTATGCTGTTGTGTGTAACTACCCTAACCAAGCAACTACCATCTTGGGGAATTCTGCGAAGTCAGTTTGCAAAAGAATTATCTAGCTGCATTTGTTGAATGTTTACATCCCCTCCTGGAGGGTGGAAAGGGTCAGGCGACCCTCCCTTGAATATCTAGCAACTCCCTACTACCTGTTTATTCAGCTCTGTCTTAATTGCACACGGCCTTGGAGAGGAGTTAGAGTGACTAGGAAGACGGGAAGAAGGGGAAGAAGGGAGGTATTGTATGACACACCTTTTCCGGAAAAAAAAAAAAAACACAATGTACATTTACTTACCCCAGATAGGGAACCCATGACAGACCAAAGTATGGGTATATCACTGAAGTCCAATTTGATGAATCAATGAGTGTTAATTGGGATTACTTACAGGAGTATGGGTGAGAGGTTACTTACAGGAGCAGAAATGACTCCAAGATAGCAGCCTCACTAAGGCACCCACCACCCCTCAGCGTGGGTGATGGCTCACACAGCTGGGAACCTGGAGCACACTGCACAGCCTGCCAGCAGCTCAGCAGTTTGGAGAGGTACCTGGGTGGGTCTAAAGCCCTTCCAGGCAGCGCAGCTGATCTTGGAGTCTCCTTTGGGTTTAGCTTCTTTCTGTCTGAGGTGGGGCTCTCAGCTTCCACCCCCCCCCCAATTCTGACTGGGAGGGGCCTAGTGAATCTGATCACTTTCGGGGACTTCCTGAAGCTATTTTGAGCTGCTTAAAAAGCTTCCCTGCAGGATGGAATGTTTCAGTCTAGGAGGAGACCGTTACCGGGTAGACCTTGTTTATCTCAACCCAAGGGAAGGAATTTTAGCTAGTGGTTAGCTCTGTACACAGTTCTTAGTAAGTGCTTGATACAGGATGGCAGGAAGTCATATATCATTGTCTGGGAGAGTAGAAAAAGTTAGGGTTCAGAGATGGCAAAAGATCAATAATAGCTCATTTTGAACAGTGATTTTCAATTTACAGATTTCTTTTGTATACATTATGTAGTTTCATATCCATATGCACCCTGTACTCACTTCATTTCCAGGACTCTAGCCTAAGAAAATAATCTAAGATGAGAACAAATGTTCAATAATAAATGCATTTGAGAGATTAGTTATTTACTTCCTTCTTTTGAAGTAGAAGACTGAGTTCAGAGCCTCTTGCAGACATGGCAAGCACTATGAAAGTAAACTCTCTTCCTAGTTCTTAGTTTCCATAGACACAAGTACTGTTATTGTAGGACCCAGCCATGACAAGCTCAATAGAGGCCTGAGTCTCAGTAGTTTACCCTAAGGCTGTAAAATGAGGGCCTGCTTGTTACTCTGGCACCTGGCTAGCTTAGCCCCAAAATAATCACACAGAAACTGTATTCATTAAAGCACTGCTTGGCCCATTAGCTCAGGGTTCGTAGTAGCTCTTATAACATATATTAATCCATTATTCTTATCTATGTTAGCTACATGGCTCAGTATCTTTTTCAGCAGGGCAGGTCACATCCTGCTTCTTTGATGTCTAGACAGGACTTCGGAAAAGAGCTTCCTCTTCCCAGAATACTCCTGTTCTCATTGCTCCACCTCTACTTCCTGTCTGGTTGTCCCACCTATACTTCCTGCCTGGCTACTGCCAATCGGCGTTTATTTAAAACATAATTGACAGAATACAGAATTGTACCACACCATAAGACAATACCTGGTTCTGAGAAAGACCACAAACTGAGATTACCCAGGCACCACCCAGGAACAGACCATCCAAAGGAAATTTCTAATGTTCCAATCAATTGTAGATAGGATCACCTGCCAGCACACACCCATTGCTTTTCACCAGGACACTCCTTGACAAATGTCAGCCAATCAGTATTGAACCCATCACCTTACACCCAGCTAATACAACTTTTCTGGATTTTGCCTCTAAATAGTGCCCTCTAGAAGGGTGGGGTATCTCCCTTCGCTGCTGTGCTGGCAAGGTCCCTGCCGGCTTGTAACGTGCACACAATAAACTCCACTTTTGCATTTCGGTGAGTCGGTCTCCCTGGTGGTCTTTTGGGGGTACCCACAGACCGGGCATAACAGTCATGTACCCAGACTGTCTCTGAGCTTACTGTATAGGTGAGGCTGTCCTCAAACTCCTGTTCCTCCTGCTTCTGCTTCCTAGTACTAGGATTGCAGGAATGAGTCACCAGACCCCAGGAGATATGATAAACTATTTTAAAACATAATGAAAATTGCCTACATAGAGTATTTTTAATTATGCATTTAAAGTAGACTAGAAGAAAATAAACCAACATATTATTTTCTGGATAGTAAAATTATAAACAGTTGCTTTAGACACCTCGATATATTATATTTTCTATAATGAACACGTATTACTCTTTTAATATCGGGAGAGATGGATCTCTTCTCTTTTGTTTCTCTTTGTTTTATTAACAATCCATTGCTAAGTACATAGGGTAGTTGCTATAAATTCCATTTAAAATACTAATGCTGCCATCAATGTACTCGCTGTAACTCTTTCTGGAACTTTCTCATCCCAGCCATTATAACTCTTTTGGGATGAATTTATTAGGATGATAGCTAGCCCTGTCTCATTAGCTGTTTCAGTATAAATAACAGAAAGATCTACTCAAACTGACTTAAACAAGAATGCATGCTAAGGTGCATCTCATTGGTTTAACTCCGGGTTCAATCCTCAGTGTAATGGTCTGTCCTGTCCCTTTAAGAGACAAGCCCTGCCCACTCCCTCCCCTGTCCACTGCTGAGGCAGCCAGATCTTCCTGCCTGCCTACAGCCCAATCCCTTCCCTTTCCATCTTTTTCCCAAAGAGGTAGCTGCTGCTGTGGCTCCTCTCCTCTCCCCCCTTCCTGTTTCTTTCCTCATCCCCCTTCTCCCTCCCTCTCCCCTTCCCTTCCATAACCCACTAAATAAATGTCCAACCTCACTTTGCATGGCATGCCTATCCATCTCAGTCTCTCACCCACCTTGTGGCTCCTGCCTCATGGTCTGCAGGCCACTCGGGGGATCCCTGCCTGGGACTGGTTGCCTTCGTGGCCCTGCTATGGTCTCAGGACCCACTGCCCACTGCTGCCACTCGGGGACCTGCAGCATTTTATTTAAACCATAACACTTGGTATTAGGAAAAAAGAGATAGAAACAGTATTCATATACTTGTTGGAAAAGTCTTACTTAAAGGGGAAGAAACCAGGCTTGATCCCAATCAGGACTTTTTTTCATATCAAAAACAATTATTATAGGGACTGGAGAAACGGCTAAGCATTTAAGAGCACCTGCTGTTCTCAGAGGGGACCCGGGTTTAATGCCCAGCAGTCACATGGCAGCTCACAATCATTTGTAACTCTAGTTCTGGAGGGAATCTGACACCCTCTTTCGGCCTCTTCAGGCACCAGGCACACCCAGGCAAAATACTCAAATACATTAAATAAGTACACAAATGAATAGATGACTATATTTTATTACAGTGTGCGCACATGCATGAGAGCACATGCTCATTTATGGTGGGCATGTGAAGGTCACCAGCGGGTCTCTCTTTCCAGTATGTGAGTCCCTGAGCCAAACTGAGGGGTTAGGCTTGGCAGTAAACACCTTTACCTGCTGAGCCATCTCAGCCGTCCATTTCCATCTTTATTGGATCCTCTTGGTAATTCTGATGTGAAGGACAGCACCTGGTGTGGCAGGCCGTGTGCGGGCTCAGGTCCTGTGCTGTATCCTCACAGGGCATTGTGCAGAAAAGAGAGCTTCTTCACAGCCTTCTGAACAAGTCCTAAGATTTTCTGGCTGAACGATTTAGGTCACATGCTCACCCCAATCGATATCCAGGGGTTGGGGCAGGAGGAGAAGGTGGAAATAAAATGTACTCCGTGTCTTAAGCCATCTAAGTCCTCTTGGGAACTGGATGAACGGTGTGGGGGAAGGGTAGATAAATGAATGAATTATCAAACAGGAAGGATGCCTTGGGAAAGGATGCTAAGTAGGCGACAGACCATGTTCCTCACGCTATCTAAATAGTTCCTTTAATTTGGCACTTATTAGTCTAACTGATCACTCCTGTGATCCTTATTTCTTAGTTTATTCTGTGATCATTGAATATACATGGACTAAGTAGAGTTTACAAAACTCCCGGGCTTTAAATTACCTTAGTAAATCTTCCACTTGAAGATAAAGTATAGAATGGTCAGTACATATTTTTTTTTTAATTTGGCCTATTGGTCAGCAGGTACTTTTTAGTTGTTATTGTATGTATATGGGTGTTTTGCCCAGAGTATGTATGTCTTCTTACTATGTACATGGTCTTGATGCCCTTGGAGGCCAGTAGAAGATTTTGGGTCCTCTGGAACTCAAGTTACAGATGGCTGTGAGTCACCATATGGATGCTGAGAAATGAACCCAGGTTCTCTGGAAGAGCAGCCAGCATTCTTAGCCATCTCTCCAGTCCAATTTTACTTGCGTGTTTGTGTGTGTGTGTGTGTGTGTGTGTGTGCGTGTGTGTGGTATGTACACATATATTGGCCAGAGAAACACATCAGTTACCTCTACCACGCCAGTGATCCTCCTGTCTTTGGGGTTATTAAATATACTTTTGGACCAGGACTGTTGGCATATGACTATAATCCAACACTTTGACTGATTCAGGAGTCATAAATTCAGTGCCATTCTGGGCTACATAGTGAGTTCCTGTTACATACAGACGTAGACTGGGAATATAGTTCACTAGGAAAACAAAGCCTAGTACACACAAATTTGATTTTCTTGCTATTTGTTTGTTGTGGTAGCATGTGATTTGATCTCATTACCACCACACCTACATAAAAAGCACAATCTCAAGACACGTAATTTTGTCATAAAGAACTAAAGACACATATCAACTCACAGTGGAGTTACAGATTTCTGGAGCCATAATGCTCACAGTAGCCCACGTGGCGAACACCTCGTTCTCAAGGTATCTGAGAAACTGAAATATTAATTGCCAGTTTCTTTTTGAAATAGTTGTTTTAGAATTTTTAGAAGATTTTATTCTTATTAATGTGTGTGAGTGTTTTGCCACAGTGTAGGTGCTGGGACTAGACCTGGGTCCTTCGCAAGAACAGCAAGTGATCTCATCCCAAACCATCTCTCCAGCCCCCTATTTTTTGTGTTTTTAATCGTCTATGTGGCTTTTTGAGGGAGTATGCTCATGTGTGAGTGTAAGTGCCCAAGGAACTGGAGTTCCAGGCAGTTGTGAGTCACTAGATGCGAGTGCTGGGGATCAAACGCTCATCCTCTGCAAGGTAAGTAAATATGGATGGTTCTTAGCTGCCGAGCCATCTCTCCAGCCCTGAACTAACTGACAAAATGTTAATGGCAAACTTCATACTCACACAATGCTCTGAGGCTTTAAAAAAAAAAATGAAAGAATTTGTTCTCCATTACATAGAAAATAAATGAAACCCAGAATTTGAACTCAGGTCTGCCTCTCTCTAGAACTCTCCTCTCAAACATTAGACTAGACTCTTGCTGCCTATCCTCGTTTGCTTTCTGTTGCAGTGAAAAACAGCATGATTAAAAAAAAACAACTTGGGGAAGAAAGAAAGGGTTTATATCAGCTTACAGGTTTCAGACCATCTTTGAGGGAGGCAGGGCAGGAATTCAAAGCAGGAGTCTCGAGGCAGGAATTCAAAGCAGGAGTCAGGAACTGAATTGGAAACCATGAAGGAATATTGCTCGGCCAGTTTGGGTTTGTTCTTTAATGCAGTCCAAGTCTGTCTGTCCTATGTGTGCAGATGCCTGCAGGTGTCAGAAGAACACATCACAGCCCTCCTATGTCAGTCAGCAGTCAAAATATCCCACAAATGAGCCCACAGGCCAATCTGATGGAAAATATTCTTTACTAGAGATTTCTTCTTCCCAGGCGTCAAACTGACAACCAAAATCAGCCATGAAAGCCTATTCTAAACCTCCTTAGTGTTAGTCTTTCTTCCTCTTCCTTCCTTCCTTCCTTCCTTCCTTCCTTCCTTCCTTCCTTCCTTCCTTTCTTTCTTCCTTTTTTTCCCCCCTTTTTACTTTATTGAGACTGGGTTTCTCTGTGTAGTCCTGACTGTCCTGGAACTCACTCTTGCAGACCATGCTGGCCTTGAACTCACTCTGTAGACAAGGCTGACTTTGAACTCAGAGAGATTCACCTGCCTCTGCCTCCCCAGTGAAGGGATTAAAGAGGCTTGCACCACCACCACCCTGCTACAGTGTTACTCTTAAACAGTGGCCTGGTTTCTATGCTGGTGGCAGGGGGAGGGGCTTCCTTTGGCTCCCTGTGTACTGACTGCTGAGGAGAACTGCTTCAGCATCAGGCTTTCTGGCACACCTCCTCAAACACACAGTCAGCAGCACTCAGATCAGCCCCTGGATGCCTGCCCTACAGAGGCTTTGATGGTGGCTATACTATTTTGAGATAAAAAGAGTTCAGCATCCAGTGGGCCAGGAACATATTCCAACGTCAGCTTTTTAAATCTGCTGGTGCGTCGTACACGGTGGAGCTTCAGGAGAGGCTTAAGCTGTTTCCAGTTCAGCTACAGTAAGATGGATTTTGCTCCAACAGAGGTGAGCTGTAGGTTAGGAGAGGCATTGGTAACCACATGGTAACTAACACTACCATCACGCCTTTGGCTATTGCTCATTTTGGGATGTCTAGACTTCTGCCAGAAATTGTCAGCAAAGCAGAGGTGTGGTGCTTATGTTCACATCTAAGTTACTATGCTCATCTTGTGAATTAAAAAAAATATTATGTGTATGTGGTAGAGGGAATGACTGTGCATATGAGTAATAGTGTTTGCAAAAGTCAGAAGAACCCATCAGATCCCCGGGAACTGGAGTTCAGGCAGCTGTGAGGCACCTGGTGTAGGTGCTGGGAAACACTCTGAACTGCTGAGCCATCTCCCCAATTCTCACCCTAAGAACGTTCGTGAACTTTGTTAGCAGAGACAATGTGTTATAGTTCCATGATAAAATAATTTGTCTTAGTTAGGATTTCTATTGTGTGAAGAGACACTATGACCATGGCAACTCTTATAAAGGAAAATGTTTAAGTGTAGTGGCTTGCAGCTCAGAGGTTTAGTCCATCATCATCAAGGTGGGACATGGTATTGTGCCGGCAGAAGTGATTCTGGAGAAGTAGCTGAGGGTTCCGACAGGCAGCAGGAAGTGAACTGTCTTGCTGGGCGTGGCTTGAGTTTATTTGAGACCTTCAAGCCCACTTCCACGGTGACACACTTCCTCCAACAAGACCACATCTAATCCAACAAGGGCACACCTGCCATTAGTGCCTCTCCCTTGGAGGGCCATTTTCTTCAAACCACCACATACTTTCCCCGCTTTTGAGATGCAAATTAAAAAGCATTTAGAATGGAAATAAAAAGTAAAAGGTTGCCTTTAGAAGAAGAAGAGCCAGAGAGGAGCTGAGGAGATGGTTCAGTGCTGGGCTCACTCACGGGCATCTTAAAATTTAAAAAAAACAAAACAAAAACAAAAAAAGGTGTGGGGAGATGGCTGAGTGTTTAGGACTAATTGTCCAAGCATAAGGTCCTGAGTGCAGGTCCATGCCCCCACATAAAAAAACTGGGCATGAAGTACTTGGGTTAGTGGTGCATGCCTTTAACCCCAGCACTCAAGAGAAAGAAAGGCAGAAAGATCTCTATGAGTTTGAGGCCAGCCTGGTCTACATAGTATGTTCCAGGACAGTCAAGGTTACATAGTGAAAACCAAAAAACAAAGTAGAACCCCCATGCTGGAGGGAGCGTGGGGGGGAAAGGAGGATTATGGATTATTGACTGCCTGCCTAGCTCCAGGTTCAGTGAGAGACCTTTGTCTCAAGAGAGTAAGGTGGCAACTGACAGACCTGGCACCTGACATCTTCTGGCCTCTGTGAGTTCTTACCCGTACACATAAACAATATATTCACATATGCACAGGGCGGGGTCAGGGAGAAGGAAAAGGAGGGAGGGAGACTTTGAAATGAAGACAAGTTAAAATTTAATACACGTAGTTTAGAATGTATAGCTGCTTCTTAAACCGCCCCAGTGATTTAAGAGCCACCTTTCAAATCTGGTAAAACTCATTTGCACAGAGCGCAGAAAGACAAAGAATGAGTCACTCATACGGAGAACTACACACGTTAGGTGAAGATATGTGGTAGTGGGATTTCTCACGACCAAGTTAATGTCACCAGAGAAAATGAGGCTCTAGCACCGTTGTGCCATAAAGATTGATGTGTGGGGCAGTCGCCCATCCTTGCAAAGGGGGGTTATTCTTTTGTGTGGGTTTTCGTCTCAGGCTCTTGGCTGCTTCCCTAGGTATTGACTTGAACCTACAGTGACAAAGGGTGCAGTGTCAGAAATGGGAGGGTTTATGTCTTTAAAAATTGATAAAGAATGGCTTTCCATCCAGTTCCTCATCTACAACCCCAATTTGTTTATTCCTGATAAGCCGTTCTCTGGTGTTCAGTCTCCAGTTCTCTTGTTTTCCATGCATTGTGTTCTGTGTTGATTATAATGGATGGACAAAAACACAACCATCCAGCTACTTTACGTGCTGTTCAAGAACTCTGCCTTAGTTTCTCAACCCACTAACCTTCTTTTTAGACATTCCCTTGAGGAACTGCCAGCAGATACTTTTTCCCCAAGTCTTATTTCACTCCTGTTGGAGCAATCATGGTAAAAGGTCATTTGGGCCTGATGACAGAAGAAACACACAGTACTAACTGAGAACGTCACACCGAGACAATTAATTAAAGTGAACATCGGAGGTTGATTGTGGTTTTCCATTAAGGAATTTCTACCTATTTACTTATTTATTTATTTATTCATTTATTTATTTATTTATTTATTTGAGACAGGATTTCTCTGTGTAACCCTGGCTTTCCTGGAATTCATTTTGTAGACCAGGTTGGCCTGGAACTCAGAGATCCTTCTGCCTCAGCCTCTCAAATTCTGGGTTTAAAGAAGTGCATCACCATGCCTAGTGGAAGTTCTGCTTCTTAGCAAAGTAAATCAGTGCGTTTGTTTTGAGAAGGTCCCATAAATTCTTTAAAATGACTTTAGAGTTAGTTTTATTTCTTTCTGCTGCTTAGTGAATCATTGGGAATTAATTGGCAATAAAGTAGAGCTGATACTACACTCAGGAGACTGAGGTGAGAGGCGTGTGAATCTGAGGTCAGCCAGACACCACCAAAAAAAATTTTTTTTTTAAGAAAAACTGGAAATTTTCAAACTTTCAAGCAATTGCTGATACCTTAGACCAATGATTCCCAACCTTCCTAATGCGTCGACCCTTTAACACAGTTCCTCATGTTGTGATGACCCTCAAACATAAAATTACTTTCATTGCTACTTCATAACTGCAACTTTGTTACTATTATAAATTGTAATGTAAATATTTTTGGAGAGAGAGGTTTGCCAAAGGGATCAAGACCAACAGGTTGAGAAACACTGCCTTAGATGTTGATAGATTACAGACTATTTCAGGGACTAAAGTATTCTCTATTTGATGTCTAATATGTTGCCATACACCTGTAATCCCAGCATTTGGGAGGTAGCAGGCAGGAGAACCAGAAGTTCAAGGTCATCCCAACTACACAGCAAGTTCAAGGCCAGCCTGGATTCCGTGAGACTCTGTTCCAAAAGATAACAGTAAAAATTCTACATTTTTATTGTGATTATATTTCTTAAAGCTTTAAATTGGAAGATATGATCTGATAATACGATGAAATATTCTAAGATGTATTTACTGTTATTTTATGTGTATGGGTGTTTTGTATGTATGTATGTATGTATGTATGTATGTATGTATGTGTGCCACATGCATGCCAGGTGCCTGTGAAGGCAAGAAAAGGGTATCAGATACCCAAGGACTGGAGTTACAAACCTTTGTGAACTAAGATGCAGGTACTGGGACTAGAACCTGGGTCCTCTGCAAGAGCAACAAATGCTCTTAACTACTGAGCCATTGTTCCACCCACTTGGGACGAAAATTTTAAAGACTTAGAAATGTTCTATGCATGGGTGTTTTACCCGCATGCGTGCCTGTGTACCATTCATGCCTGGTGACTACATAGCCAGAAGCAGCTTCAGATTTCTTGGAACTGGAGTTACAGGTGGTTCTGAACCACCCTTTGGACGGCGGGACTAGAACCCAGATCCTTTGGAAGATCATCCAGAACTCTTACCTACTGAGCCATCTCTCCAGCCTGAGATGAAATGCTCTATATTAGAACATTGAGCCACCATGCGTTCTTGACAGTTATAGTATTTCCCATTATGCTCTTTGTTTATAATTGCTTTTATTATTGTGTATTCAGCAATTTTGGCCTTAATCAAACACTTCCGCTAAGAAGGGGATCAATAAAAGGAACATGTGTTAAAGAATAAAAGAAGTCTAAAATTTAGTGGTCCAAGAAAACTGAAAATCACTTTGTTCAGAAATGTAATATCCTTCCATTAACGGCAGGCCATTATTTTTAATAAGCCTTAGTTTGGAGTCGTTATTAGGCCATTTTAAAATTGCTTTATAATTCTGGCAGAGCTGATTTGTAAGAACAAAAGGACAGGAATGTAATCTTCCTGTATTCAGGACTGTAGAGATTGCTTGTAGAGTACTGTGTACAATTTTGCTTCCTGATAGGAGAAAGATGTGCATAGCTTTGGGATAGCCTCAACCAAACTATTCAGAGGCTGGAAAACAAGCCAGGTGGGATTTACCCTACAGACACACTCACACAATGAGTCCTAATGAGTGAA